GGTTTGAGCCTATATATGCATATCTCACATGTCGAACACATACACGTAGATGAAACAGGTCTCAAACACATGAGCCAGATGCGAAATGTGTGGAACATAGTTTCGACGCATCTTGAACTTTTTGAACTGGAAACATGTCAAACATTCAAGTTAAACTTTTATATGTGGTGTTTTCCTCTTATGCGCAAACATGCGCGCATGTATGTCAATATTTGTGCAAATGTTTCCACATGTGCATGTGGAGCAAAAGCCGTATTCTTGGATATGCAAACTGTCCTTGGTTGTAACTGACTATTGACACATCCACCAACGCTTCTTGAACACACCAATTATTCTCCCTGCGAAATCCCTGTGTGCTGCACCTACTGGCTCATGCTGACGCATGCAGTATGTATTTACAAATTATGGAGCTTAATTACATCATGTAAATATATCGTTTTTGGAAGTGCTGCAAGACCCACACGTTTGGCTAACTTTTCACAAGGTGCAGAACCCACTGCGTCTGCCATGCAAAACAGCACCCGAACGCAAAAAGTGCTCCGAGACCGTCAGTTTTTTAACGCTTTTGACGTCCAAATGCGCTTCGTACCACAGCGACATGCACCTTTTCAACAGCTGAACTTTCAAAAGTGCTCCGAGAACGGTGTGTTTAGCATGTTGACTTCGAAATGATTCGAAATGTGCTTCGCGCCACAGCGGCATACATTTTTTCAACATCAACTTACAAAAGTGCTTCGAACCCGCAGTGAATTCAAAATATTGTGCGTAGCTCCACAGCCGCGTGCACTTTTTTGACATTGACAAGTGCTCCAGAGCTAAAGCGTTTTGTGCATTTTGACTTGGAAATGTGCTTCGCGCCACAGTCGTGTGCACTTTTTCGCATCTCAACTTCCACAAGTGCTCCGAGAATGAGGTGTTTTTAGCATTTTAACTTCCAAATCTGCTTCGCGTCACAATGGCGTGCAATTTTTGATCTCTCCTCTCGGATGGCTCCGCACCCCCCGCTTTAGTGAGCTTACTTTTCGATACTTTTCGACCCTCCGGAGCCAGGAAACACCGGAAAAACACTTTTTTCTACCTTTTCGTGCACCTTGATCTTCTTTCTACTGACTCACTCTTTCTCTTCTGACTTCTTCTCTTCTGACTCTTTCTCTTCTCTGCCTCTTCCCATCTCTGCTCCATGACTTCTAAACTTCCTTCGATCATTTGTAGGTCATGTAGGCATTCATTATCTACGTGCAAGCGTTGAAACAACCCTTCGACATCCTTCCACTGGCTACTCATATTGATTCCCTGACCTTTGAGCTATTGCAGCTGTACAAGTGAGCACTACACCCAGGGCTGCATTGTGTGTCACAAACATAACTATGCAGAATTTACTGAAATCTGGCTGAAGTGACAATGTGCTGTCCTTTGATGCAGTCCTGCGTCTTGCCGGACCAGCTGACACGGTGTAGTCGAAAGTGATCCAAAGTTCCAAAACGACGCATGTCATCCATGTCATCCATGTCATCCCAGTGAAGCAACTGAGTTATTCCATGTTATTCCGCATCCTGAGCAAGACCATCCTCACAGCTCTCATGCTCACCGCTGTCAAGCATACGACGGAGATTTTGTAGTGGTCTGTACATGTCTGTACTGTATGCAATGGGATGCAGGTGTATTAGCCAATGCCTTCGCACCTTCACAGGAGGTAAAGAAAGTGGCTCTTCGTTCTGAAAAAAGATTCTGGTCTGCTGATCAGAGTGCTGAAAAATCACAACTTTGCTGGTATTAGCACCCACGGCAGCTTCTGGCAGCATGGAAATTGCACATGGTGAGGTCAAGGTCCCTTCTGTGAAAGCTCTTTTGCTGAGAGAATGCTCTCGAATGGTGAAAACAACTGGGCCTTATGCTAATATTATTTGCAACCGGAAAGTTCCCTTGCGGGTCCGCCGCACTACGTTTGCAAATTGAATGCTAAGGGCAAAACTTCTGACTTATCTGAGTTGACTACTGTCATGATGCGTGTGCAGGAGACTTGTAAACTCAACTCATGCCGGAGCATATCCGACACATTTGTGCTTCACTTTGCTACAAATCGTCCCTCTTAACCGATTGGATCGATAGCTCGATCCAGGTGATGCGGTTGTGGTTGTGATTGCTTTGCTCACAATCACAGTCGCAAAGCGAGTCAAAGTGCTTGGGAGCACCATGGAGTGGCACAGCACGAATCATGTGGAATCCCGAGACGCCGCGGCGCAGCGAGCACGGCTGACACCTGCTGTGCCACATTGTGTTTTTGCTCCCATTTCACAGCATTTCACTCTAGGCCGCGGCTTAGTCTTTCAATGAACTTGTTAAAACCGGAAGTGACTCCAGCCGTCTCAAAGGCAGACTTCTGAGTAAAGAAAGTCAAGGGCGCAAAAACTGTGACTGTAATTCACTTCTGCCTCGAACAGATCTGTTGTGCCTGTGAAATACCTAGTAAAGGCAGCCAGAAAATGCGAACAATATTTGATCCCCAAGCGATTCAGCAAGTACTCTTGGATCACTGCATGCCATGGTCGCTTTCAGCGAAGTCCTTTTTTCTTAGTTCTTTAGCCACTTTCGCCCGTCCATCGTCCGCCTGGCGCAGGGTAACCTTTCATTCAAACGCCCTCTGCAAATACCATGGCAGACTGACCCGACAGGCCCGTCAGCAAATCCTTTCAAGCCATGGATGTAATTTCAAATCTACACTTATTATCATTTATCCACATGGTTCTACATGTTATTTCGTGGTGCTTCGCTATCATATCATACATGCAGCCCATCATAAGGCTCAGGTCGAATATCTGTAGACTCTAGACATGATGCAGTGACGATCATCGATGCAAAGCTTGTGGATGTCCATCTTAGGCTTTGAAACAGGTTTGCGTCTGCTTTGAACACCGCGTATCATCCACAGGTAACGAACACATGACACATAGCTGTGTTCCTTTGGCCACTCCCACAACAGTCGACCATGGGACCGTCCTACTGATTAGCAGTCATTATTGAAACATCGGTCATTCTGAGTTATTCTTTCCAAGCGGTAACGGTAGCAGTGGAAATAACATTGAAAGCAGCAGATCCAGCCGTAGAAGTACATAGCAGTATAATATATATATATATACCTACGTATTCCAAACCTTGTCTTTTTTTTCTTGTTTGGGCAAGAAGTGTTTTTTTGATCCCAAACGGAGAAAATTCTTGCAATCGACGTTTTTTGTTTTTTCTTGGTTTCGCTGTCCTTGGTGGCTCAATTTCCTCACCCTGAGCCTTTGCTCACCCTGGCCCGTGCGCCCCCGTCCACATTTCTTTTTTGCAGCAAATGTGTGCCCAGCAGGTTAGACAGTTGCCTCATTCCAGCTTCGAAAGGTACCTTGCATGGCAACGCTGCTGGATATTTCGACAGCTTGAAGGCCGGATCGGGTTGGGGTGAGGTGAGCCCCATGAGGAGTTGAATCCATCAACAATTGGCGCATGGGTGTTTTAGAAGCCATTGAGTGTTCAAGTTAGTTCTGCCTCTACCTATGGCGGGCGAAGAGCCCCCCACAAAGTCTTTGGGCGTCCTGTGGGAAAAGGATGAGTATGTTCGAGAGCGAGCCAGAAAACACAAGAAATTAATCCGATGGGCTGAATTGAGGTTGAAAGGAGTTCAGTGCAATGCCAATGTTGTTATGAACGTGCATCAACTGGAGATTCTTGGAGGATGGTGGTGCCCTCAAAAATCCGAAGCCAAGTCGCCTCCCATCGAAGTCATGAAAAAGCAGGTTGGGTTACAACAAAGTTGTTGTAAACATTTTTGAACTGGGATAATACTGCCCCACAAAAAAAAGTTGAGGCCACCAAAATTTTAAAAGATGTTGTCCTGTTGTAATTAAACATGATTAAGGTCCCCTGATTATTTGATTGTGCTAGGTTCAGATCCTTCAAGAGAAAATGGATTTCCCTCCGAGCGAGACCTTTGTGAAAAGAGAAGCCTGGAACTGCAAAAGGATGTTCTCACACGCCTGGAACCGATGGAAGGAATCAGAACGCCCAAAGGAGCTGGTTTCCAAACATCGCGTGTTATTTTGAAATTGTCGTATCTTTATCTCAACCTTTCCCATTTAAATTTTCCATGGGTCAGGATGGAAGGCTTGCGGATCTGTGGAACATTATGGATCATTATTGGACACCACCTCCCACAAGGAAGGTCACCAGCGAACCAGAACCACAACTAGCCACAAAGGATGGGAAGGTGGACCCCAGTGACACAGAGGTAGATTCTGAGGATGATATCCCTACCCGTGCCAAGTCCAAAGCTATCAAGGGAGCTGCTGTAGTGAAACACGTCCGCTCTTTGGATCGGAAATCAATGTCGGGCCAAGGGGCTGCGTCAGTGCCTTCCATGCCCGCTGCCGCGGGCCAGCCTTCGAAGGTGGACCTCCCAACGCCTCGCAAGGATGACATCATGAAGAAGCGGGAGCTGATTCTGGCCAAGCTGGAAAGTGTGAGGCAAGGGTTATAAACAAAGGGGCTTTCCGGTTTTATTGCTTTTTAGTGGTTATAACCTGGGATCTTGGGAATTCAGCTGAAAATACTTTATAAATACGAGAAGTCAATGACTCGCCGCCCTGCAACCCAGCAACCAAACCCTTAGGCATGAGATGAGCAATCGTGCTTTGGCATCTTTGGCTCGTGCAAAGAGCTCGGCTTGCAACTAACCTAACCACAGTTTAATATTTTTAGGCATGGCCAAAAACAAAGCAACTGTTGAGTGAGTTCCAAAGATTCTTTGGCAGCTCACCTTCCCTCTGACTGAGGCATCGGTGACGGTCCTTGTGGGGACAATATGCAGACATTGCCCTTTGATGTGCTTGATGCTCCTGATCCCCTTCCTGACTTCATCAACCTAGTTGACTACCAAGAGGAGGGTGATCCGAAGGGTGCTTCTCAAGTTTTGGCATCAGCAGCTTCTTTGGCAGAGAAGGAGTGTGTCCTTTCCCCTCACCATGGCGGATGTGATGGGCAGGTGCAGCCAGCTTCCTCGGGCCAGTCGCTTCCCCCTCAGAATGGTGGATGTGATCAGCAGCGGGAACAAGCTCCTTCTGGCCAGCCGCTTCCTCCCCAACATCATGGTGGATGTGCTCAACCTGAGATTCCCCGTCAACATGGTGGATGTCCGCTTCCCCCTCAACATGGTGGAAGTGATGGGCAGCCTGGGCAGGCTCCTTCTGGCAAGTCGCTTCCTGAGCAGCCGGAGCAAGCTCCTGTGGGCAAGCCACCCCAACATGGTGGCTGTGCCCCTCAGCATGGTGGATGTGATGGGCAGAGCGAGGGAGCTCCTGTGGGCAAGCCGCTTCCTCAACATCAAGCTCCCTCTGGCAAGTCGCTTGACCTTCAACATGGTGGATGCGCTCAGCCTGAGATTCCCCGTCAACATGGTGGATGTGCTCAGCTGCCGGAGCAAGCTCCTTCTGGCAAGCCGCTTCCCCCTCAATATGGTGGATGGGATGGGCAGCCTGGGCAGGATCCTTCTGGCACATCGCTTCTAGGTGGATGTCCTGAGCAGCCGAAGCAAGCTTCTTCAGGAGTTCGTGCAGCTCCTTCTGGGCACTCCTGCCCCTTGCAAGCTGATCCTCCAAACATGGGCATCCCTTCGCAGACTCAGCCCGAGTTTTCTAAGAGCAATGGCAAAGTGGTGACCTATGACGTGGAGAAGTTGGAAGATGCTCAGGTGCATGGGTTGTTCTTCCCATTTTGCATCACATGTTTTTCCCCACCTGCCAGGTGAGGGTTGTTAGATTTTATCAGAGTTGTTCTTCTCCTCCTCCTTCTTCCTCCTTCTCCTCCTCCGCGTCCTCCTCCTCTTCTACCACCTCTGCCTCCACTTCCACGTCCACCGTTGCCTTGCCAACTCTTGGCCAAGCTCTTCGCCAACTTCGGAGCTCAGTGCACACTGCTGGACCTCAACCTGGAACCTTCCCAGCTCAGTGTGCACCGCTGGACCTCAACCTGGGACCTTCCTAGCTCAGTGCGCATCGCTGGACCTCAATCTCGGACCTTCCGAGCTCAGTGCACACCGCTGGACCTCAACCTGGGGCCTTCCGAGCTCAGTGCGCACCGCTGGACCTCAACCTGAGGCCTTCCGAGCTCAGTGCGCACCGCTGGACCTCAAAAGCCAGATAGAATGCCAGAAGATATGCCAGATAGAATGTCAGATAGAATGCGAGAAGATATGCCAGATAAAATGCCATAAGATATGCCAGATAAAATGCCATAAGATATGCCAGATAGAATGTTAGAAGATATGCCAGATAGAATGCCAGAAGGTATGCCAGATAGAATGCCAGATAAAATGTCAGATAGAAGCCAGAAGATATGTCAGATAAAGTGCCAGAATGCTTGCCAGATAGAATGCCAGAAGATTTGAGTAGATAATATGCCAGAAGATATGCCAGATAGAATGCCAGAAGATATGCCAGATAGAATGCCAGAAAATATGTCAGATAGAATGCCAGAAGATTTGCCAGTAACAAAATGTATAAATGTCATGGTGGGGATCACACGAAGTAAAGTAATTTAACTTGTAAAAAGGCGGGGACGTCAAATTCCACATCCAGCAGGTGCCCTTGATTACCCGTCGCCAGCAGCTTGGAACCGAGTCACCTCCACATGAACCGGAGCAGCCTGCGGATGATGATGGCGAGAAGCCGCTGGAAGTGGGAGCCCCTGCTGAGTCTGATTTGCCTTCCTATGGGAAGAAGGCCCCCCCGAGCCAAGGCAAAGGCAAAAGCCAAGGCGAAAGCCAAGACAGAGGCAAACCGACCCAAAGCAGCGGCCAGAGAGCCCAGGGCCAAGAAGAAGCTTGCTCCACCTGCGCCTGCAGACGCAGACGCTCCTCATGAGGCGTGCTGTGAGGCTGATGTTGCTGATGCCTCACAGGATGATTCCCTTGGCCATGCACATGGTCCTTGTCACGGTGATCTTTCTGGTGAAGTTCACCCGGCGCATGGCGACCGTCCTGGTGAAGCCGACCCTGATGGTGGAATGGCAGCGGCAGCAAGTTCTCTTGGCCCTGAACCTTGTGGCGTGAAAGCTGCAGCTACTGAGCCTGAAGTGGCCGATCACAAGGATCCGCCATCCAGGAAGCGTCCCAAACAGAACGCAGACACCAACAAGCGTACCAAGACGAGTGCTAAGAAGGTGGATCCAAAGGACACAAAAGTGACACAAAGGCAAAGGAGGCACAACCAAAGGGTGACACGAATGAGGATCCGGGTGAAGGTGGGGCAGCAGGTGCCGCTCCGGGCGCCAAGAATCTCAAGACTTGGGCTGGCCGCTATGTCCCAACTGACCCGTTGGGAGCCAACAGGTTCTTCGCCATGCTTGATGTCTACATGCAATTTGTATTTGTTGCTCCCCAGCTTAAGTCTCAGTCTCGCTACCAGGACCCGTGGCTCTTGCCATTGACCATGGAAAGTTTGTAACTGTCCCACACCTCTTCCCTTTCCTGTGTTTATGATAAACCTACGGCAAGTATGTTGAAATAATCTATTTCCATCCGCCCCTTCCCAGCAGCTGCTGCAGGATGCCTTCTACAAGCTTTGCACCGAGGAGTTCAAGAAGAACCATTCGGCCACCATGGAGTACACCACCTTGTTCCATGGCGCCCATGAACAGTGTGACTGCTTCATGCAGCTTGAGGAAGTCCGTGCCTTTCAAGCATTTTATTTGGGTGGCAAATTACAAATTATTTCAAATTGCTTGCTCCGCTATTCTCGCTCCAAACTGCCAATTTTGATAAAGATGTGCTGCGTGGTGGCAGTGCTGTGCTGGTTCCATACCTTTCCATACCCGTTCCAGACCTGGGCCACCCTCACATAGACTGCTCCTAAGCCATCCTTTGCGCGTGGGTTATGGGAGCCTAGAGTCTTGCTACGCGGGGACACAATCTACGAGTACCCCATAGGGAGCTCTGAGTTTTAAGGAGGTGGGACCTGCGTGACAGGTCTGAAGCTGAGCGGACAGCTTCACATGGTAGCCAGCGGGTGACGCTGGCTACCGGTTGTGTCCTATCTAGTGCACGAGCACTAGCCATGCAGCAAACCTGCGTTGAACAGGTGTACAACAAGGATGTCGTGCAGATGAGAAGTGAAAATGAGCGGCAGCCAGCGTTAGTAGCTTCAACATGCATATCCTTGAGATGCATTTAATATACGTTACATATTTATATACAGCATACACAAATATATATATATATTATATTATATATTATATATATTATATATATATATATATATTATATATTATATATATATTATATATATATATATTATATATATATCTTATATATATATATATTATATATATATTATATATATATATATATTATATATATTATTATATATATTATTATATATATTATTATATATATATATATATATATATCTATTTTATTTCTATTTTTTATTTATGTATAGCCTATATTTCATCACACTCCAAAGGTCCGGAATCCGGAACAAGACCAGTTCCGAAGCCCCTTCGTTCCATACGTCCAGAACACCGCGGAACGTTTCATACACAATTTTGACTGACAGCCACATGATGTCAAGGTTGCCGAAGCCAAACAGGATCACAGCTCAAATGCTTTATTTGGAGAGATTCAAAATTGTAGGGTAGATAAGATGGATCATCAAGATTTTGTGGTGCTTTTTTGCTCCAGCAATCGGTGACTTAATTTATCCCTTCAGTGAGCCACTCCCACACTGCAGGTGCAGCGATGAAGCCTGCCTCCTAGGTAGCAAGATACCGTCTGAGCAAATACGATGGCTGTTTGAAATAGCATGCCTTGGGATGTATTTGCCCACGTTCTTGTGACACTGACGTGGCATTTGATTTTCATGGCAGGCCACCAGCTTTTGAAAGGAATATCGCTCATAGTAATTATTTTCTGAAGCTTCAACCTTGTGATGAATGCTGGCGGTGCTAAAACGCTTCCGCAGGCCTCCAAGGCAACAACTCTTACAGCTATACAGCTATACATGCCCTTGCCATCTGTTTTTCAGGGGGTTCAAGACTGCGGTTTGCCCGCCTTCAAACGCTCCAAACGCTTCCGCAGGCCTCCAAGGCAACAACTCTTACAGCTATACAGCTATACATGCCCCTGCCATCTGTTTTTCAGGGGGTTCAAGACTGCCGTTTGCCCGCCTTCAAACGCTCCAAACGCTTCCGCAGGCCTCCAAGGCAACAACTCTTACAGCTATACAGCTATACATGCCCCTGCCATCTGTTTTTCAGGGGGTTCAAGACTGCCGTTTGCCCGCCTTCAAATGCTCCAAACGCTTCCGCAGGCCTCCAAGGCAACAACTCTTACAGCTACATGCCCCTGCCATCTGTTTTTCAGGGGGTTCAAGACTGCGGTTTGCCCGCCTTCAAACGCTCCAAACGCTTCCGCAGGCCTCCAAGGCAATTCAAGACTGCCGTTTGCCCGCCTTCAAATGCTCCAAACGCTTCCGCAGGCCTCCAAGGCAACAACTCTTACAGCTATACAGCTATACATGCCCTTGCCATCTGTTTTTCAGGGGGTTCAAGATGCCCGTTGCCCGCCTTCAAATGCTCCAAACGCTTCCGCAGGCCTCCCAAGGCAACAACTCTTACAGCTACATGCCCCTGCCATCTGTTTTTCAGGGGGTTCAAGACTGCCGTTTGCCCGCCCTCAAACGCTCCAAACCCCTCCGCAGGCCTCCAAGGCAACAACTCTTACAGCTACATGCCCCTGCCATCTGGTTCAAGACTGCCGTTTACCTGGCTTCAAACGCTCCAAACCCTTCCGCAGGCCTCCAAGGCAACAACTCTTACAGCTACATGCCCCTGCCATCTGTTTTTCAGAAAACTCTTACAGCTACATGCCTTTGCCATCTGTTTTTCAGGGGGTTCAAGACTGCCGTTTGCCCGCCTTCAAACGCCCCAAACCCTTCCCCTGCCATCTATTTTTCAGCGGGTTCAAGACTGCCGTTTGCCCGCCTTCAAAGGCTCCAAACCCTTCCGCAGGCCTCCAAGGCAACAACTCTTACAGCTACATGCCTTTGCCATCTGTTTTTCAGGGGGTTCAAGACTGCCGTTTGCCCGCCTTCAAACGCCCCAAACCCTTCCGCAGGCCTCCAAGGCAACAACTCTTACAGCTATACAGCTACTACATGCCCCTGCCATCTGTTTTTCAGTGGGTTCAAGACTGCCGTTTGCTCACCTTCAAACGTTCCAAACCCTTCCGCAGGCCTCCAAGGCAACAACTCTTACAGCTACATGCCCTTGCCATCTGTTTTTCAGGGGGTTCAAGACTGCCGTTTGCCCGCCTTCAAACGCCCCAAACCCTTCCGCAGGCCTCCAAGGCAACAACTCTTACAGCTACATGCCCCTGCCATCTGCTTTTCAGGGGGTTCAAGACTGCCGTTTGCCCGCCCTCAAACGCTCCAAACCCTTCCGCAGGCCTCCAAGGCAACAACTCTTACAGCTACATGCCCCTGCCATCTGGTTCAAGACTGCCGTTTACCTGGCTGCAAACGCTCCAAACCCTTCCGCAGGCCTCCACGGCAACAACTCTTACAGCTACATGCCCCTGCCATCTGTTTTTCAGAAAACTCTTACAGCTACATGCCCCTGCCATCTGTTTTTCAGAAGTTCAAGACTGCCGTTTACCTGGCTTCAAACGCTCCAAACCCTTCCGCAGGCCTCCAAGGCAACAACTCTTACAGCTACATGCCCCTGCCATCTGTTTTTCAGGGGGTTCAAGACTGCCGTTTGCCCGCCTTCAAACGCTCCAAACCCTTCCGCAGGGCTCCAAGGCAACAACTCTTACAGCTACATGCCCCTGCCATCTGTTTTTCAGACAACTCTTACAGCTATTACAGCTACATGCCCCTGCCATCTGTTTTTCAGGGGGTTCAAGACTGCCGCTTGCCCGCCCTCAAACGCTCCAAACCCTTCCGCAGGCCTCCAAGGCAACAACTCTTACAGCTACATGCCCCTGCCATCTGTTTTTCAGGGGGTTCAAGACTGCCCGTGTTGCCCAACAGCACCAATATAAAACAACGCTCCCAACACCCTCACTACCCGCAGGCCTCCAAGGCAACAACTCTTACAGCTACATGCCTTTGCCATCTGTTTTTCAGGGGGTTCAAGACTGCCGTTTCGCTCCAAACCCTTCCGCAGGCCTCCAAGGCAACAACTCTTACAGCTACATGCCTTTGCCATCTGTTTTTCAGGGGGTTCAAGACTGCCGTTTGCCCGCCTTCAAAGGCTCCAAACCCTTCCGCAGGCCTCCAAGGCAACAACTCTTACAGCTACATGCCTTTGCCATCTGTTTTTCAAGGGGTTCAAGACTGCCGTTTGCCCGCCTTCAAACGCTCCAAACCCTTCCGCAGGCCTCCAAGGCAACAACTCTTACAGCTACATGCCCCCGCCATCTGTTTTTCAGGGGGTTCAAGACTGCCGTTTGCCCGCCTTCAAATGCCCCAAACCCTTCCGCAGGCCTCCAAGGCAACAACTCTTACAGCTACATGCCCCTGCCATCTGTTTTTCAGGGGGTTCAAGACTGCTGTTTGCCCGCCTTCAAACGCTCCAAACCCTTCCGCAGGCCTCCAAGGCAACAACTCTTACAGCTACAAGACTGCCGTTTGCCCGCCTTCAAACGCTCCAAACCCTTCCGCAGGCCTCCAAGGCCACAACTCTTACAGCTACATGCCCTTGCCATCTGTTTTTCAGGGGGTTCAAGACTGCCGTTTGCCCGCCTTCAAACGCCCCAAACCCTTCCGCAGGCCTCCAAGGCAACAACTCTTACAGCTATACAGCTACTACATGCCCTTGCCATCTGTTTTTCAGGGGGTTCAAGACTGCTGTTTGCCCGCCTTCAAACGCTCCAAACCCTTCCGCAGGCCTCCAAGGCAACAACTCTTACAGCTACATGCCCCTGCCATCTGTTTTTCAGGGGGTTCAAGACTGCCGTTTGCCTGGCTTCAAACGCTCCAAACCCTTCCGCAGGCCTCCAAGGCAACAACTCTTACAGCTACATGCCTTTGCCATCTGTTTTTCACAATCGTGGGGCGTTTGGATCACAATCGTGGGTGATCGCGAGAAAAAGATCAAATCTACATGTGGTCCAATTCAGAGTATTTAGTGTCAAATATGGCTTCCTGAAGGGATGTGGATTTTCTTGATTTTAAAAGGTGGTTATGGTAACGACATTTGTTTGAGCTTATGTTGGAAGGTTAGGGTATATACGTCTTTATGTATTTATTTATGTCGTCGTATCTTCGTTCATTCATAAGGATGTATATATATATATATATGTCTACAGTCTGTGCGCATTCCTTCCTCCGCCTTGAAAGGGGGGTCGGCGGCACCAGGGCGTTAGCCCATTTATTTGTTATGTGACTTTCGCATTCCCCCTAGGTTTAGTCGCACGGGACCAAGCCTACAAAACATCCGGGGCTCAAGCCTCACCAAAGGTCAATGCTAGCCATGCGCGCAAACTGCACATGGGCCATACGCTTTGACCTCGCCCGGTGCTACATGGCTGGGATCGCTGTGGAATGTGCTACCAGATCCCAAACCGTACAAGCTTGAAGTTGGCCTAGTTTGTGCAGGGAAGCATGATTCTGGGCATCGAGGACACTGACTGAGACTGTTGGAATGTCCTGGCATTTCTATCAATGGGAAAGTGTCGCAGCATGGACCTTGTTCGGGATGGTGACCTCCAACCCATCCAGGACACAGCCCATCTAAGGCAAGGCAAAGCAAAGACTGCAGGCCTTACCAGACAAACCCAAATCAGCTTCAGGACGTCCATGCAGTAGATTCAGTAGATTCATTTCCAGAGGGTGTAGCCTGAGTTCTCACCAGAGAAAACATGAACCAAAGCTCCATGCTTTTTCCAAAGCTTTCGTGTTCTTCGATTGCCCGACGGAAGAATGTTGGATGTTGGTGTCTCCATGAGTGCTTGTTTGTAGATGTGGTGGAAGATCTCGGAAAGGAAAACAGGATAGCCGCTTGATCCACTGAGTCTCCTGGTCTTCATTGAGGCACATTAATCGCCTTGATGGCTGTAGCAATTAGAGACTCGATCTCCTCAATCAACTTGAGCGCGAGACTTTGGGGAACCATCGGACATCCTTCTTGCTTGATGTCCCATTTGTTCGAGCCCGGCCAAGAGGCGTTCACTGTACTTGGTGGCCGACTCCAAGCTGGGCACGGTGTCCACCAAAAGAGCATTTCTGACCAGGCGGTCTAAAGTTGAGGTCTGGGTGCATGGCCAACAGCTTCTTCATCAAGCGAATCAGTCCACGCATGGGCATGGACGAAGCTGGTTTAGAAACGCCCATTTCAAAGGCTCTTCTTTTCCACCTGATCCACTTCCTCAACTGCATGATCGGTGATGGTGCTCAACTCTGACGGGCTATCTAATGCCTGTAGGATGGCACCACGCTCCCCCAGCCCTCTGGGCTGGTAAACCAGCATTGCTTTGGACATTGTGCCAAGCGCTGAAACAGGCTTTGATGCCACCACCTCCTTGAAGCGTGTCAGGGAGTGAGGTCATGAGGAGTGAAGCTGCGCGCTTCTCAAGTCTGGACCATCTTTTCTGCCTGAGGTGCTCTAGTAGTTCAGGAGCATGGGAGAGCCGCTGTATTGGTGTGAGTGCCATGTGCTCAGCATACCAAATGGACACCAGCTTCGTCGTCGCCTCCCACCATTGTTGGGAATTGGAAGGAACGCAAGTCACTCAATGTAGACTTCAAGACAGGT